CTGGGTCTGTTCAGATGGAGAAGGGGAGACTGAGGRGGACAACTTTGCTGCATACAACTGTCTGTATATTTTATATATTCCTCATGAGATGCAGCAGAGGGACAGGCACTGATCTCTTCTCTGCGGTGACCAGTGACAGGATACAAAATAGTGGAATGGAACTGAGTCAGGGCAGGTTTAGGTTGGCTATTAGGAAAAGCTTCTTCACCCAGAGGGTGGCTAGGTGCTGGTACAGGACCCTCAGGGCGGTGGTCACAGCACCAAGCCTGACAGAGTTCAAGAAATATTTGGACAAAACTCTCAGGCACATGGTGGTATTCWTGTGTCCTGCTCAGGGGTGTGAGTTGGACTTTGATAATCCCTGTAGGTTCATTCCAACCCAAGATATTCTATGATTCCGTGAACTTCTTACTGTAATTTTTCTAAAATCCTTCAGGAGCTTCACTGACTTCCGTGTGAAGGAAGAATATGCTTTAAAATGGGGCAAGACACTCTACCTTCCAAGTGGCTGACCATGGAGCAAGGTCATGCCAGACTATGTCTGCATCTGGATTTTGTTATTTAGAGAAACAACAACACCTGTTTCCCATTTATGCAGGAGAATTGGCAGTTTAGCTCCAAACCTGGCTGCTATACTTCCTTTTGAATCCAGGAGGAGTCGGATGCCAGGTGCTGGCTTTKGCAGTTCTGTTTCACAAGGAGTTAGCTCGCGTTATTATACACYGTAGATGTTCTAGGTACAGGCAGCCCTGCTTTCTTGTCCTGTCCCCACCCCATTCCTCCTGTCTGCCAGACTCTCCCTGTCTCCCCACCAAGCTCTCAGTTCACACCGGGAGACAGACATCTAAACCAGTGAAATCTAGAAGTATCTAGGTTAAAGTCATCTCTTTCCCAGACCTGCAGGAAGATCAAGAGGATTTCCAAACTGGGGGGGCTGAATGTTTGTGTGGGGGTGGATGGAGGGAGGAATCAGGGAGGAGGCACAGGGAGCAGTAACATCCGGAGTTTTTGTGACTCAAATTGAGTGAGACTATCACGTCAATCACAGGAAAAACGTGTGCCCTGCAGCTGGAGCCGGGGTGTCTGGACTGTCTCAGGCTGGCAACTCTTTCATGTTGTTGTAACCCGTACAGTTAACAGATAGTTAACTAAACAAATAAATAGATCTCACCCTGGCAAAAGAGGCACACCCATATATTTGAGAGTGTGCACTGAGTCACAGGCATTGCCTTTTCACTGTCTGTGTCCGATGGAGGGGGGTGTGGGGGAGCTCATAACCCGCAGCAAGGCAGTTAAAATAATCGATGAGTGCGTGTTCAATCCCAAGACAGGGACGGGGGGAGGAGGAGGGTGTGGGAAGGCAGAGAGAGAGACAGAGAAGGGAGGGAGGGTGTGGTGGCTAGGGAGGGGGGGAGGGAGGCGGGAAAGGTGCTGATTTCAGCCCTGTAGCGTCAGGATTGCGTCAATTTGGGTTTCAACCACGTACTCAGTCTCAGAGCAGAGCTACTCAGAAGAGCCAAAACAGGAAGGGGGTTGCAAATCAGTGTGCAAAGGGGAGGACCGAAGGCTCCCCTCCCCCTTCTCCTCCAGTCCCTTCGCAGCCTCCTCCTGTACTGTCCCCGCCGCTCGTGTCTCCAGTTTTTAGGTGTTTTTATTGTTGTTGCTTTTTTAATTTTTTTTTTATTATTATTATTATTTTTTTTTAAACTGTGCTGGCAAAGACGCTTATCCAGGCTCCGTTAGAGCGGAGAGCCGGGGGACAGCAGGGCAGTGCGCTTGGTGCCCCGGGAGGGTCGCTCGGCATCCGGGGAGGCGCCTCCCGCATCCCGGACAGCGGCTCCAGAACCGCGGACAGAGACTCCAGAACCGCGGACAGAGACTCCAGAACCGCGGACAGAGACTCCAGAACCGCGGACAGAGACTCCAGAACCGCGGACAGAGAGTCCAGGACCGCGGACAGAGACTCCAGAACCGCGGACAGCGGCTCAAAACCCCAGGCAGCGGTTAGAGCACCGCGGACAGCGATTCGAGCACCGCGGACAGCGGTTCCAGCACCGCGAACAGAGACTCCAAGCCCCGGACAGCGGCTCCAAGCCCCGGACAGCCTCTCCAGCCCCCCGGGCATCTCTCGCCACCATCATGGCTCCGATCGCGGACAGCCGCCAGCAGTTCGGTAAGCGCGTCCCGGCTCCCCGCACCCGGGGCCGGGCGGTGCTCTCCTCCCCTCCCCGGGAGAAGAGCATCCTCTGCTGAGCCACCCGGTGCCTCCCAGCACGCAGATTGTTGGGAGGGACCTGGTTTCCTCCCAGTTCTCTTCAGGTCTCAGAAGTTGTGTGTGAATTTGCTTTCTTTTCCCAATCGCTCTTGCGTCCTCCCTCCCCGTTCCCCCTCCCTGGTAAAGTACTGGAAGAGATAAAAGAATTTCTGTAGGTGAGGCTTTGGATGAGAGAGATTTGGGTTTTTCTCTGTGTCTGTGTTAAAGTAAYGTGGATCCAGAGTTGGGTGATGTAAACGCATCTTGTGCCACAGAGAAAATCTTTTTTCAAGTAATTCTTGGAATAATTGCCCTTCCCTTTATTCTTATTGTAGGTCAATCATTACTTAAAGTGAAAGGACATGGCTAGGAAGACGAAAAAAACAAGATTTCAGTGTTTTTAGCTGAGCAGCTGCATCATAACCAACCCGGTTTCATTGAGAATATCAAAGATGACACTGAACTTTTCAATTTTGCCATTTCTGTGCACTGAATGTGGGGTGGTACCAGAAGTTTCAGAAGCAGTCATGTATGTGCGCTTATAAAATGCATTCACAAATTGCTTTAGTCAGAAAAGCAGTGAGTGGRAATGTTTCTGAACTCTGCTTTACAAATATTGACTCTAGCCTACATTATGCTTGCTTTAGCAGTGATTTGATTCAAGGATCATTCCACTGACTTAGGCGAAGAGACTTCGGATTTAGATCACATAACTGGAATAATAACCTCTCCCAGAATCAGTAGATGATGTTTTCTGTTARCACACTGCCTTGAATGTTAACCAATTGATTTACATTATGACAAAAGTAAGAAATTCAGGCTGTGACATGATTAATTATAAATATAAAGTCATTTCAGTTACAATTTCCTCTTCTTTTCTATCCCACCCACTTGAGATTTCTAACCACACTTGTGACATCATGCTTGTCTAATTACTTATTTAAGAAAGATAATTAATATTTTAAACATCAAATTGATTTTTCCACTTCTTTCAATAGTTTTAGAATGAAAGGATAGCATAATACCCATTACTATAAAAAGTCTGTTATCTCATGAGAAAGTATTGTAAATGTATAAACCACTCTTAAAAGAAATTAAAGTATTCTGATTAGTTCTCAATTACTTTTAGCTTTCTATTTTTATGCCGTGTACATTTAAATTTCTGCAGGGAAATACTTGAAACTCAAAGCCACATGCTTCACTTAGGAAAAATACTTTTTGTTTATGTATATGATTTTCAGTCATTTCAATAAGTTTTTGCAATTAAGTATATAGACTAGTACAGCTTGTAGGCATCAGGAAAGCAACATGAATGTTGTCATAAAAAATTAATAGCCAGGCCTGATCCTTTCTGTGCTGGAACATTATGTCCTACTTTGCTCTGATAGTATTGTTGTGGATTTTTTTTTTTTTTTTTTTTTTTTTTTTTTTTTTTTTTTTTTTTTTTTTTTTTTTTTTTTTTTCCCTGAATCATCCCACTAAAAAGCAAAAGTATAGTGGCAGCACATTTATCTGCCCAGCTTTTCCCTGGACAAAGCTGCTTTAGTAATATAGGGGGAGAGTTTTCCTTTACTCATCCAGAATGACCAGAAAGAAGCAGAACTGTTACATAATTGCCTTTATGCATAAACAATGTCATTGCATTAATATTCTATTGGACATCTATGGTTGCAGGAATAAGGATTGAGCTCTGATTGTTGCAGTGTGGGAGGTTTAAACTCACTTAGTAATGTTACTTATGGGCAAAATTGGATTTCCAATTAGTTGTGCTCATTTACCCTTCGATGCATACTTTGAAGGGCTAATGATACTCCATATGTAAATAATGTATCCACATGACAGTGGAGGTTGTAGCACTGGCTCAGATTTCCTTTAGTCAGTGTAAGTCTAGGATTCATGTTAAAATTGTAGAGAATTATGTTTGAATGCTTTTTCTTATATATTTGCAAGGAGCACTGATCCTTTCTGTAAAGTCCCCATAAGCTTTGATTCACTGTGTCTTAAACGTAAAGCTTAGTGGTTAACAATGATRAACTTAACAGGATTTTTTCAGCTTTGAACTCACATATGTCTACCTAGTGTCACATCCATCTGGAGAAGACACTTGGTATATAATTATTCTAAATTTTCTTGATAGACTTCCTCCTGCAAAGTATTGAAAATCCCAGTGAAACTGTTGAGTGCTATAACCTCCAATTAAACTCACTTCTTTCAAGAGATACCTCCAGGCAATTATGGGATCAGACCATTAAAAATTAGTTAATTGAGTGTACAAAGTATTCTAGGAGACAGTATGAAAAGCAGACGATGTATCTATAAGTAATGCATATTTCAGAGTGTCTTTTAGCCAACCAACAAACCTCCATAAACTCAAAGCTGAAACCAGCTGAAAGCTGGTATTATTCACAGACATATAAACCCAAAAACCTCACACAGAGGGTTGAGASAGCCGAGAAATTACTAACTGCTTATTATTAGGATGGGTGTAGTATTTTCCTCTCTAACTCTCCGTGTATGGAAAAATACCAGCATAGCAAGTGTGCCTTGGAGTGGGACTGCACAGTGATGCCTGCAGGTGGCGAGCAATMTGTACCATGCAGAGCTCTTCCAGTCTGCCAATCCTGCTGATATCACATCTCCTACTCAGTTTGTTTTAATGACTTATTGCTTTATTAAACACCACGCAGATTTCAAGGTACGGCTGCTTATGTGCTTGTTGCTATTTATTTGCTTTGCAGATGAAGTCCCTACAGTGGTTGGGATTTTCAGTGCGTTTGGCCTCGTCTTCTCTGTCTCCCTCTTTGCKTGGATCTGCTGCCAACGCAAATCTTCCAAGTCCAACAAGACCCCTCCATATAAGTTTGTCCATGTTCTGAAGGGGGTTGATATTTACCCTGAGAATCTCAACAGCAAGAAGAAGTTTGGAGCTGATGAGAAAAACGAAGCAAAGAACAAATCAGCAATGCCAAAGAATTCTCTCCATCTTGACCTGGAGAAGAGAGATCTAAATGGCAATTTCCCCAAAACCACAAAAATGCAGAGCTCTCCAGATCCCGAAAATTCATCCCCTAAGCACTTTGCAGAAAGGAAGAAAGATTCTGTATCCCCTGATAGCTTAAAATCCATCACTTCCCTGTCATCTGAAGAGAAACAAGACAAGCTAGGAACTCTCTTTTTCTCCYTAGAGTACAACTTTGAGAAAAAAGCATTTGTAGTGAACATCAAAGAAGCTCGTGGGCTGCCAGCAATGGATGAACAGTCAATGACTTCTGATCCCTACATCAAAATGACAATCCTGCCTGAGAAAAAGCACAAGGTGAAAACCAGAGTGCTGAGAAAAACCTTAGATCCAGCTTTCGATGAGACTTTCACGTTTTATGGGATCCCCTATAGCCAAATTCAAGACTTAACACTTCACTTCATGATCTTGAGCTTCGACAGATTTTCCAGAGATGATGTCATCGGRGAAGTCCTCATCCCCCTTGCTGGAATTGAACTCTCCGAAGGAAGACTGCTAATGGACAGAGAGATCATCAAAAGAAATGTTAGGGTAACATATTTTTTATACAAAACTTGAAAATGTTGTGTTACAGCTGGCCATGATTCTTGTGTAATGCAGCTGCCATCTTGGAAAGAAAAKCCAAAAGGCTCACCATGCCTGAGATGCTTTCAGATACTTCAATTCCTTCAATTCCTCAGCAGACATGCCTTTCCTAATGGCAGCATGAGGAAGCTATTACACAAATGCAATTAAAAAAAAAAAAAAAATTGCAAGCATATTGAAAGAAATTGCTAATGCCCTAAGATCTGATTTCTCATTCATCTGGTCCAGCAGGTTTAAGTGGACCAATTTATGCAAGGTCAAGCAGCCTCAATCCATGCTGTTTTGCTCTTAGTTGCTTTTAATGGAAAGAATMAAAATACTTACACATTATTCCCTTTCTTCTCCCTTCCCTTATCTATTTGGCATCATTCTTTCTTAAATCTCACTGAAGCCAATGGAAATGTCAACTAAATCTGTTGTGCAGCACATCCTTAAGGAATGTAGGCAGCCTTTAGTTATGGAAGTGGGACCTGCTGTAGACCACATTTTTTATGTAGTATCACATTCTTGCACTTTGGTGCTGTTACTACCTTGTTACTAAAGGTAGTAAGAGAGAGGCTGCAGTCTTACTGGAGTCACTGGCAAAACATCCTGACTTTACTGGTACAAAAATATTTTGTGCTGTGCTGTCTCAGTTCAGACTGTGAGAGTCATTTACCACCACCCCAACTGAACCACAGAAATGCACAGACATCACACACACCCCTCTAAATCTCTGCTGAAGAAGTGGAATGTCTACTGACATTCAACTTGACTGTTTTCAAATGRCAAGCATACTGACAAATGCAATAAATGTCTTCCAGAGAACACACTTATAGCTAATGCTGTTATTTTGATAATTCTATCACAATATTGCAGCAAATGTAACTATGTCACTGATCTTTTGTTGATGACTTACTGGATTTTCTTGGTATATAAGGAACTACTTTTTCTTGTTTGCCTTGCCTTCCTTCTCACTTTGAAATAAGCTACTCCTGCAAACTCAAATCAAATAATCATCGAGAAAAACTTTGATCTCACTTTTATTTCATGTATATTATATTGCTTTAATAAGTATCAGGGGATAAGAATTCACTTCCAGTTTAAAATACTTTGCTGAATATTTTTTCCTTTACCTGTACTAGATTTTTTTTCTCCCCTTTCTCCCTTATCTTTATGGAATTTTGTTTTTCTTAAGATCATTTTCTTTTTAACTGAGAACTTTTTTTTTCCCTCAGGATTTCATTTCTATTCTCAGAAGATAATGTTGTCATGCCAATCTATATTTTCCACTTATTTATTATTTATTTTGTCTTCAGTCTAATAAGCAGTCATAAGAAAAGTTATATAACTACTCTAGAGGGAAATTATATTCTCTGTGTAAAACAAAGTAGCTCCATGCATTATACCCTTTTATACAGTTTCAGAGCATTCACTTCTGTGACATTTGATAACTCTGTTTAATTCTGGTTTAATGCTTGGTCAATACAACTGTTTTTAAAGAGTTTTATTTCTTTTTATTTCCTTTAATTTCCTCAGAAGTCATCTGGGCGTGGAGAATTACTGGTCTCTCTCTGTTATCAGTCTACAACAAACACTCTCACTGTCGTTGTTCTAAAAGCGAGGCATCTACCTAAATCTGATGTGTCAGGATTATCAGGTAATGGCTTCAATAATTAATATGCCCTAAGAATACAAATCAATGATGAAGAACAGCTGCAATGTGGCATTTCAAAGAGTAAAGAATATTCCATAAATGCAGAAATGGTGTTTCTATTATTTACAGCYTGTTCATTTTATTCATATCTAGGTCAATGCTTTATTCCAGGATATGTATTTTACAAATTTCTCCTCCAATCATATCAAAAAAGGTGACATCTGTTAGCAGTGGAAACCAATGAGTTTTATGATTGTCTTGAATGGAACCCATCTGCCACAAGCATGGGATGTTGTTTGCAGATATCAAAAGCTTTTATTTATGA